GATGCCCTTTGCTCCTAGTAGCTTCTTGCTCCTAGTAGCGATGCCCTTTGCTCCTAGTAGCTTTTTGTTACTAGTAGCGATGCCCTTTGCTCCTAGTAGCTTCTTGCTCCTAGTAGCGATGCCCTATGCTCCTAGTAGCGTCCTTGCTCCTAGTAGCGATGCCAGGAGGCCTAGTAGCGTCCTTGCTCCTAACAATTTCTAAATTCTTAAATGCTGCAGAGAATGCTTGTTACTAGTAGTAATGCCCTTATTACTAGTGGCTTCTAGCTACTATTTGCTTTGCACCTCTTTACAATCTTCATATGCAAAACGGAAGCTTTCTTGACTGCTTGTACTGGTGACCGGCCGTGCGTGCAGAGCTTGCATGAAGCACACACAGTGGCACAGTTGGTTTGATGTTGCCTTGTTGATTGACGAGTGAAAGAAGAGGCACCGAGAATAGCATGCAGAGAGGATCGGGAAAGGGGAAAACTCTTCGAGTAGAGTAGGAGTTGTTGGCTGTAGGGCCATGTTGGATCTAAGATTATCATAGGAGTTTTGTGGAAACTTAGGAGTTTAGGTCATCTAAACATGGGATATTGAATCCAAGAACTTGAGTAACAAATCAGCAACTGAGTTTGTAAGAGACATTGTAGCTGCATTTTTGTGGATATTTTGTGAAACCGCAGTTCCAGATGGCAGTTGTATGTTAGGGGTTGGGCTTGGCAGACTTACATACTGTGTCTTGACAGAGTCGAAGTCCTGTGAGGCAAGGGATTTCTTCGATGCTGAACACTTTAAGAAGTTGTGGCTTGGACAAGGTCGAGAAGAACTTGTTGCGAAAACACTTGCAGCCTCGGGACGTGTTGATCGCCCTGACTTTTAGCAGCAACTTGACAAGAACGCTGGGACTTCAGGTTCATGTCTTCAAGCACTGAACAAAGGTTTCAAAAACGGTTCAGAGTAGACTGGGGAGGTCTCTAGGTTTACCGGTTTTCTCTGATTTGTTGAGCTCCAACCCTTGGCAAGGCATGCCTCCTGGCACGTCCCAAGCAAGGATGATGACGCTGGCGGCCAAGACCGATTCGCCCTTACCGCTGCTCTTTGGTTGGGCCCTTCCGGAGGCTCGAGACGCTCGAGGATTGCAGTTGTGTTCACAGATCCATTGGGGTGCTTTCCGAGAACTCTTCTGCAGCCCTGCTTATCCCTTGGTCATGTCCGTGGGAACAGATCGGACATTGGGGAAGTCGTATTTGCTGCAGTATCTCTATGCCCTTCAAGAATGTCACTTCCGAGGTCCAGGCCCTACAGGCCCTACTTCCACTCCTTTGAGGATTCATTCCATGCCTTCCATCGATTTGATCGGTGACTTCGCCCGAGAGGAATGTATGCGTGGCGTGACCTTGGCCGATGTGCACGGCTTCAGTGCCCGTGATCCACTCTGTCGAGCTCTCACGGCCACTCTGCAAAGCTTTTCCTCCATTTGTCTGCTTCATGCGTCTCTGAAGACGGATTTTGAAGATGACGGAAGACCAAAAGCTCACTTGCAGGAATTGCTTTCAGTGCTTTCAGCTGCAGAGAACCCTTCCTTTTCGTTGTTGCTCTTGTTGCGAGATGCGGAGGATGACCATGGACCCTCCGAGCAGAGGAGAGTCACTGCTTCGGTGGAAAGCGTGGCTCGACATGTGGACGCGGAACGTCTGATGGCGTGGCTGGTGACTCCTTTGGCTTCGCTGGGACCGACAGAACTCACCAACGAAGTGAAATCTCTCCGCAAAAGCCGAGGAATTGAAGGCAAGTCTAGCTCTGAAGGCATGTCTTTGGAAGAAGCTTTGGCAGCTGCCCCCAAATCCACCAAGAAGTTCCCACCAATGCCCCTGCTCCAACAACGTTACATGCACTTTGCGGAGCGCTTCTCTCAGAAGGCTCAGACAAGCACGGCATCGAAGGAGAAAGGTGCTTTAGCGCAGCGCGTCTTAGCGGAGTTGGATCCCGGCACATCTTGTGAAGGTCTTCTGGGCAAATTGTTTCCCGTGGCTCAAAGTCATCAGCAGCTGACGCTTTTGATCCAAGAGAAGGTACGATGCCTGGGCCGAGGCCGGGAATATTTGGAGCCCGAAGAAAGACGGCTGCTGGAGAGCAATGTGGATTCCATCGACCGGGAGATCGCGCGTCTTCGCTCCGAACGCCAAAGAGCACCCCCTCATGCGCTCTTGAGGACCTTTGCGCAGCTGGTGCTCACAGGCCGGGCTTAGACCTTTGTATATCCTTTCTTGTTTATCTTGTTTCTGAGACGATTTTGATCCCTTTTAAACTCGTGAACCTTGAATGAGCTTCAATGCGTTTTCGTTGAACGATGTGCGGAGGTGACATCGGGCTGATCGTGGAGTTTGGGGCCTGTTTGAATGAATGGAAGCAGTCGAAGCGAGCGCCGCTCCTGGAGCGGAAGTTGGCGATGCGGAAGGAGTTGGATCGGCTCATGGAGACGCCCAAAGCTGAAAAGATCGAGGCCTTGCGTGCTGACCTGGCTACTTTGCAGAAGCGCTTGGATGAGGCAAGGCGGCGAGGTTTGAAGAATTGTTCTTTAGGATCCTTGTTTGTGCTAATTGCATTATACATCATTATACCATTACTAGGCTTGCATTGGAGACCCAATTCGCACACCTGGATGTCACCGATGTGTGTGTCACTAAGAGGTGGATGTCTCCACAGACTCCTTTTGGCTTGAGCTGATGCTGTGGCACGAGCTGGAACGCACGGGCGTCAGGGCGGGGCTCAAGGAGATCCACGAGCGTCTCAGCTTTGCAGGCGCCAAATCCTGCTACCTCAACTGGGTCAAGAAACTCGGTTCAAGTTGATGCATTTCAAAAGTCGTTTTGCTTCAGAGAACAACTAAGGAGTGGAAATCCGTTGCATTTCCTCCACTCTGCCCCCTTGCAATTCGGCGCCTTTGAACCTTTGAGGCCAGAAACAAGACTAGCGCCTAGGGCCCTAGCAGCGCCATGACCATGCCTTGTTTTTGCTGCTGTGGTTCTCAATTCAAGTCTTCAAAAGGGCTCTCGTTTCTGCTATTCATTCCTTTCGACGTTTCTGCTATCATTCCTTTCAATCCGATACACACATTTTACCGACCGCGTCTTTTGCTCCAAGCTTGAAAGAGATCAAAGGCGGGTCAGGTCGGGCGCCACATCTGGAAAATGAGAAGTGCATTTAGCTAAGGCTCGAATTTAAGTCCTCTAAAGCGTTCTTGACGGAAGTATTGTGGACGTGGCAAATAATTTTCAAAGACATGGCAGGTGGCATCCGCAGCTCAGCGGTGCCTCCTTCTTCGGCTCAGACTTCATCGGAGATGTCCTGCGAGAACTGGATCGAGATTTGGGGGTAGACGTGCCCTGTCGAAGATGTTGCGGATTTTTATTCCTTTAAACTGGACGCAGGACAGCTCGCGCCTCTTCAAGGAAGAAGCGCTTGCACTAATGATTTGATTCCTAGATTTTTAGGGAAACACTTAAGGTTGGAGGCCATCGCGAGTAGGTTGGAGGCCATTCAGACATGAGGGATGCCGTGGAAGACAAAAACGTGAAAGACGCGTGACGCACCCCTTAAAACATGAGCATTTCTTTAGTCTTACAAGAACGCTTTCTATACTGTAGGTGTGCTGTCTTGAACGACTTTCCCTTTACCAGAAACAAGGACGGAATGCTTCATTAAGCAAGAGTGCCTTTATGTATCAGACGATTCGCAAGGATGTTGGCCATTGCAATTAGGTTGGTAGGCCATCCCTATTGGGTTGGTAGGCGCCTACTTAATTGTGTCAATTTGTTTCTATTTAAAAACATACACACACACACACACACGCGCGACTCCGTGGAGCTCCATGGAACTCCGTTCATTTTTTGCATGTAAAGAAACTACACCAAATAGCGATGGCCTCCAACCTACTAGCGACGGCCTCCTCCAACCTATGTAATAGGAATGGCCTCTAACCTAATAGCGATGACCTCCAAGCTAAGAGCAGTGGCCTTCAACCTACTAGCAAAAGGAACCTAAAAGCAATGGCCTAGGTTTTCAGGCCTAGACGTGAGAGGTACGGCGGCGTCCGTTGCTGGTGATCTCAGTGATCGGAGTGCAGAGCAGTGGCAAGAGCACTCTGATGAACTATTTGTTTGGCTGCTCCTTTGCCACCCATGTAGGCCGTTGCACAAAGGCCAGTTCTTGCTGATGGATATTTTTTACATGTAACAATGTAACTTCATGGCTTATAAGGGCCATTCATTCCGAAAGCCTGCAAGTCGTCCTTGTTCTTTCAGAATTTGCAATTGCTGCAGAGTTGCTGCAGTTTGTCAACTGTTTGCTTCAGGGTTTGTACATCTCTCTGCTGGAGACGCGGCACGCTCTGCTGGTGATCTTAGACACGGAGGGTTTGCTTTCCGTCGAGGCACGGGACGATGTCTTCGACAAGCAGGTGGCACTGATGACCATGGCCTGCTCGGACCTGGTCATCGTCAACAACCGAGGGGAGCTCGGCAGGCGGAGGGGAGCTGTGGCCGTACGGGAGACTCAAGAGACAAGCAGTTTGCGCAAGAGAGCTGAGATAGGGCATTGGAAGACCGATGGTCTAAAGATCATATACATATATATTTAGCCCGCTCGTACTTAATGAAGTAGGTACCTACTCAACTAAGTAGGGGAGGTAAGCTACTAGGAGAGGTTTGCTCCTAGATAGGTTGCAGGATAGCGCTCACACTAATGAAGACTTCTGAGGAGCTTTCTACTTTTTCGGATCCAAAGAAGCAGCTTTCCTTGAATTCTGCATTTGTTTTGCAGGCATGTGGGGGACTTGTTCCAGGTCTGCTTGTTTGCGCTGTATCATTTGAAGTTGGCACGGATATCTCCTGCCATCGGCTTTGTCTTGCAGTGCTTGAGCATGGTAAACCAACAGCAGCAGTACGAATGGGTGGCGACGGTGAAGCGATCCTTGGAGGATTCGGTCCAAGAGTTGCAGCAGAAGGAAAAGCCCCACTCCTTCAAGTTGCAGGACGGAAACCTCAGAGGCTCAAACTACATTCAACTCTAGGATATTTTAGGTTTTATCACTCTGAGGTAGAGGGATAGCGATGGATAGAGGAAGCAAAAATGCCGCAGGTTTCCTTTTTTTTTTTTTGGTCCTGAGCGTTCAGGATCTAGTCTTTTTAGACTCTGAGAGCATCTTTGTGATGCCTAGCGCCTTCAACGATGACGTGCAGTTTGGATTGCAGGTGGGTCAGGGACATTTGTAGTAGCTTCTTGCTCCTAGTAGTACGGCCAAGAGCCCCTAGTAGCGTTCTTGTTACTAGTAGCGATGCCAGGAGCCCCTAGTAGCGTCCTTGCTCCTAGTAGTAAGGCGAGGAGCCCCTAGTAACTTAGTATCTTCTTGCTGTATTCAAGTTGTAGGTATGGTCCAAGTTTGCAGGGTGTTAATCGTAGCTTGCATAGACGGCTAGTTGGCTCAGCCGCCTGAGAGAAAGATGACGTATTTCGTCAAATTGGGACCCATATGCATCGTTTTTCTTTTTATTTTTTTTTAAAGCGGACTAGTCGATTTGGATGGCTTTGTGTTTGACACCCTGACCAGGGTTTGACACGCTGACCAGGTCTCCAGACCGACGAACTTGTATGCCTTGAAGGCACTCCAACTGCGTGAAAAGGTCTTCCAATGGATCGCTAGGCAAGGCAAGACGGCAGGAACTTGGTGCAAGGGACATTCGGTGTAACATCTAATGCTACTAGGAGCAAGGACGCTACTAGGGGCTCCATCGCTACTAGGAGCAAAGACGCTACTAGGGGCTCCTGGCATCGCTACTAGGAGCAAGGACGCTACTAGGGGCTCCTGGCATCACTACTAGGAGCAAGGACGCTACTAGGGGCTCCTGGCCTTCCTACTACAAGCAAGGACGCTACTAGGGGCTCCTGGCCTTACTACTAGGAGCAAGGACGCTACTAGGGGCTCATGGCATCGCTACTAGGAGCATTCTTACTGATCTGGTGGGGGACGCATGGAAGAGTTTTCATCGATCGTAGGTACAGTAGAGATTTGTCTTAAAGCATGCTCACCTCCTATCTTATCCTCTCGGTCCTCTCGTCTCCTCTCTCTTCCTCATTAGTTGTTTCCTTTTTGTTTCACCTCAAGCCTCAACCTACAAATTTGCGCTAGTAGGTGGGAGGCCATCGCTACTAGGGTGGTCTTCCCTACAAATGTGGTCTTCCCTTCCAGGGCCAAAGCGTCCCAGAAGCAACGTGTTCTCGAGATGGACGATGATGCCAAGAGCTCCGCCTCGGGCTCCGTCTTTGCTTCCTTGTCTCAGTGGTATGACCACGCCCGCACCGTTTGGCAGACGCTTTCCATGTGCGGCACGGACTTGTTGCAATTCCGCACCATGAGGCGCCCGTGGGGTGGGTTTGCGCTCAGGCAACAGTTCATGTGAAAAGGCATCAAAAGGCTTCTGTTGAAAAGCTTTGCGTGGTTTTGCACAGTTATTGCTCAACAATGTGCTGATGTTGCCATAACTACGCTGTACACACATGTTTTATAGCTCCGTTTTTGGGTGGTGAAAAGGCAAGTCTTGATGGCGCAGCAGCTGCAAGAGTTCTGTGACGCTTTGGTCCAGAAGCATGTGGATGGCAAGATGAACACAGAAAGTGAACACCTCATTCAGCGCTACACCAAGGAGACGACATCGGATGCTCAAACACCTGAAATGACAAGGTCTTGAACTTGAACTCCAATCTCTTTCACTTTGTGTCAGGCGTATCAGCCTGGCTATTTGATTGAAAAAGCGTAACAATGTTCGAACGTTGGGATTGTTTTTTATCCCTTTCCTGTGTCACTTTCCTTTGAGGAGCTCCGATCGGCCACCGCAACCGGGGAGGTCCACGCGATCGACAACGCTTTCCGCGGGCAGTTGGACGGTCTACGGGATGCCGTGCTGCAGGAGATGCAACACGACTTCGACGACTTCGTGCGCTCCCACGACAGCAAATTCACCGCTACTAGGAGCAAAGGGCGGGCTCCTGGCCATACTACTAGGAACAATGTTTGCTATTAGAAACAAAAAGCTTGAAATTCACGTAAATGTATTTAGAATTTCAACAAATTCACAGAGCCTCGGGCCTAGGGCCCTGGAGGCCATCACCATTAGTAGGTTGGAGGCCATCGCCACTAGGGCCTAGCGGGCGCTTAGTGGCTGCCGGCGTTCTAGGGGTCCTAGCTTCAGCATTCTGAGGGGATTTGGAGGACAATCCGAGACATCGAGGCTAAGGAGCCAAGTCAGGTCAAGGTGTATGTCTCCAGACAGATGGGATGTGGTCATTGTGTGTTTTGATGTGAATGAACTTTCTTGTGCTTAGGATGAGCAAGTGAAGAGCGACAAGCGCTTCTCCTTGATGGGTCCAATGAGACGAAAATATGCCTCGGTGGATTCGCTCTGGCGATCTGCGGTGCATTTGGTACTTGAGCAGCACCTTGGCCAAAGCTGCATCAGATCAAGTCACAGGGATCCAGGCACGGGTCAACCACCTAGTAGCTTGTTGTTCCTAGTAGTAAGGCCAGGAGCCCCTAGTAGCGTCCTTGTTCCTAGTAGCGATGCCAGGAGCCCCTAGTAGCTTCTCAACCCAAGGAATTCCATGGACCACCTCTTTGAGGAGATCTCTGCCAAAGTGAATGATCTGCTTCTGGAGCAAGGCCGTGATGGAGCCACACTTCATAGGTCTCAATTGCAGACTTCCACGCTACCGGAGCGAGCAATGCGATGACAGATTTGACGTCCTTATGTTAGCCTAAGGTCAGAGAAATGAGCTGACATTATTCTTTCCTTTTTAAGACCTTTGGGCCTTCCTTCCTCTTTTTTTTTCAGAAGTGGAAGACACCAGGCTCGCATGTGAACGTGCAGAACGTGGAGCGGGTGTTCGAAGAGAAGTGGAGCCAAGTCATGGCCGAAGCCCTTCGGAAGCAGCGCCCGAGCCTCGAGCGAGTGATCCAAGAGGTGCGATGAGAGCGGGAAGCGACCGCGGTGTGTGGTGTGCGGTGTGCGGTGACAGAGTCCGATCGCTCCTAGTAGTAAGGCCAGGAGCCCCATGTAGCTTCTTGTTACTAGTAGGGATGCCAAGAGCCCCTAGTAGCTTCAATGCTCGCGCGCGCGCGAAAAGGTCCTAGTAGGATTTTCTTTGCTAGTAATTACAAGTGCATCGCTAGTAGTAACAAGTGCCTTACTGGTAATTAGAATTCTAATTAAATTCTTTTTGTTACCAGTAGTAAGGCACTTGTTTCTAGTAGCTTCTTGTTCCTAGTAGTATGGCCAGGAGCCCCTAGTAGCGTGGCACTTGTTCCTAGTAGCGATGCCAAGCTTTGTGTTGTGCTGAAGCGCAGGTGGTGTCTCACTTCAACGCGGCACTGTTGAACTTGAAGTCCCAGTTCCGCAAGGCAAGGGAGGACAAAAGAAAGGACAAGGCTCTAAAGGTTTCAGCAAAAGAATCAAACACCCCTTTCTTTATAACAGCATTTTTTTGAAGAAAGGAATCGCAAAGGTTTAAATTTGTGGAAGGTGGGTGAGTTCCGGTGGTCACAGAACAAGACAGCGTGTCTCAGAAGAGGATGTGCATTTGAGTATGAAACAAAAGAAATGCGCTCTCGTTTTTGTGATGCATCCCATGCATTTGATGCATCCTGATTTCATATTCTGGCAAATCAAGAGTCAGATCTGTCAATGATTTGCTTCGACTTGCGACTTATCCAGGCTCACATCTTCCATGGAGTGAAGAGCTTGACCAGCGACTTGCGGGAGATGTCGGAGGTCTCTTCATCCTTTTTGATGGCCAAGAAAGGCATCGACGCACAAAGGAGAAAAACAACACGACATGTTGAAGTGTTCATTTATCTGATCCTTTATTCATTCTTTTCATCCTTGGCGAAAGGCATCGGTGCAGCACTGGTGCCGCTGATGCCATCTGGGAACCCCGGAAGCGCTACGACACAGGTGCGAGGGTCCATGAAATCCACTACTTAGGACGTCTTCAAGCAATTTCACACATCAGAATGTGTTCAACAACTCCCCAATCTAATTGGACACGGATTGCAATAATAAAGCTACAGAAGCTTCTTCCGAACTGCTTGTACTTGATTCGAGAAGGCGATTTTGGATGCAGGTGGACAACTTGTGGCTCAAGTTGGTTGATACGATGCGGCTGGAGGTGGGAGTCTGTGGTTAGATGTGAGAGGGTTGACCAGGCAGACAATTCCAAAGTTCCATTGACCAAGAAAAGGGTAAACGGTGTGGCTGCGCAAGGCTGTTCGTATGGGGCGTCAATTCTTTTGAACATTTAGCTATCCGTTTTGATATCGCACACACACACAAGGGAGGCCAGCTTTTCTGGTTTCCTCCGTCTTTGTTCTGCCATGTGAGGTGGATCAGCAAGGGCAAATGTCTGATGCCACAGCTTTGAAGATCCTGAACCGTTTGAACACAGAGATGGAGGCGAGGAAGAGGGGAAGAATAGAGACAGAAAGCTCAAGCGTTGGTCTTTTTTCAGTGTCATTACTTCTTATGGCTTTAGTACACTTTTGCTTCTCTTGTATCTTCCTTCCTTGTCCTTTTCTTCTTTATATCAATTTATTACCTTCCTTTTGACATACCTTTAGACATTTGACATACCTCTTTCTTCTTACTTCCTGTTTTCCTTCCACTCCGTTCTAGAACAACGCTTCTAAGTTTTGGGGGTGCGCAAGTGAGTGCTTGGCCTAAGTAGCCGCAGCCTTAGGCCGCCTTAGGCCTTGGACATACCTACCTCTCATTGCTGCAACAACGACTTCTTGAGGGATGGTCCAAGGCACAGAAATTTAGGAACCAGATCATTAGTGTGTGAGCTATCCCGCGTCCATATGTAGTAGCTTAAGTAGCTAGGAACCAGCAAGTTTGTCCCTAACTTAATTAAGTAGGTGCCTAATCAATTAAGGGCGAGCCACCAAACAGAAAAAGGTGTTTGTCCGGTGATGAAGCAATCCGTTTGGTGTTACCTTCCCTCCTTCAGACTTCCGAAGTTTGACCCTCTTCGGGGAAGAATCAGTCGCCTCAGACTGCTTGGCCTCCAACCTAATAGCAAGCTATATATAAGACCTTTCTTCTTTTTATTTTTTCTTTGTTTCTAGTTTTAATGGCCTCCAACCTACTAGCGATGGCCTCCAATCTGTTTTAGGTTTCACACTGTCACGGTCTCATCCCAGGCAGCCGATCAGCTGCGTCAACTGTTGCATCGACTGGGCTCCACCTTTGTGCAAAAGTTGGTTTATGAAATGGCGAAGGCTACCATCCATTACCGCTTTCAGGCGCGACACCACCGTGGGGATCACCCAAGAGCCTCCCAGGCTATTTTTTCTCGTTGACCTACTACCAGCGATGGCCTCCAACCCAAGAGCGATGGCCTCCAACCAAATAGCATTGACCACAATGGTAATCCTTTGAAGGTTGTTGCATCTTTTTGGTTAAGACAGCGTTTTTGGGTGAATGTTTTCTTTTGCTCCTTGCAGATCGAGCAGCAGAACTTTCAGAGCCGAGTGAATGAGATCATGGGCAAAAAGAAGCAAAAACTTTGGGAAATCCAGGCTCGAGTGGATAGCGGAAAGCGTGAGGTTCACTGTGCGAAAGTCTGGGCAAAGATGCTCAGCTTCAAGTGTTCAAGGATGCACTTGTTACTAGTAGCGATGCACTCCTTCCTAGTAGCTTATTGTCAAACAACTTGGCCATTAAGATTGAACATTATCACGTGCTTGGCGGAAATGATTCCCACCTTTCTTAGAGAAAGGGCTCCTTTGTGGTTGCCCTCTCAAAGTGGCTCAAAAAGTACATGGTGGAAAAAAGTGGAAGAGTATTTTGGGCGGAAGGTGGCTGCGTTCTTGCATGAGGCTTTATGGGATAGTGAAGCGGCCTCAAAGTAGCAACAGGCAACGGCAATAATAAGCAATGCTTTCCCTGATAATCTAGCAACCAAATCATTACAGTAGTGCGTGCGCTTCCTTGAAGAAGCGTGAGCTGTCCTGCGTCCATGTTTAGAAGCTAACTCGGCCACGAAGAATAGCTTCTTGCTACTAGTAGCGATGGCCTTCAACCTACTTGCGATGGCCTCCACCTAATAGCGTCCTTGTTACTAGTAGCTTCTTGTTACTAGTAGTAATGCCAGGAGCTACTAGTAGCGTCCTTTGCTCCTAGTAGCGATGCCCTTTGTTACTAGTAGCTTCTTGTTCCTGGGCAAAAAAGAAGACGTGTCTTTTTCGATCGGATCTAAGGACCTTCGTGGACACTCTGGACCAGCACTTCCGCAATGCCGTGGGCCGGATGGCACAGGAGGCATCACCTGAAGTCAGAGCGTTGTGACAACTGTCGATCGGCTGGAGGTTCCTTTCACCTATAGTAATGCCCTAGCTACTAGTAGTGACCTCGCTACTTCGGATATTCATGGTTTTCAGATTTCTGATGGTTTCTGACATTGAAACTTCCGAAACGTGACAGTGGCAGGTGGTGTCACACATGTCGAAGATCCTGACGAACCCGGGCAGTGCTTGCGAGCAAGCCATCGAGCGCTCCTTCACGCGTCGCAACTGGAGGCACGTGGTGATGTATGCCATCGACCCCACGCAGTGCGCTGGGAAGAGAGTGAGGTTGGAGGAGCAAGGATGCTAGTAGTAGCGCAGGGCATCACTACTAGTAGCTCCTGGCATTACTACTAGGAGCAAGAAGCTACTAGTAACAAGGACGCTATTAGGTTGGAGGCCATCACTGGTAGGTTGGAGGCCATAGGGCACGGGAAGGGCACAGTGTGTCGGATGTATCAGCTGCAGGCCTAGAATGTGATTCATCGAGACGAAATCGTGCACGTTTGCGCTTCTACCAACGAGGAACGCTTCAGAATTGCTAGAAGGGTTGACCTCTTTGCATTCACTCGACGCTACTAGGAGCTAGGAACAAGCACGCTACTAGGCTTTTCAGAATGGAAGAACTCATGAATTCTCTCGAGTGGAAAGAGTTCACGTGTTGAGGAACGAGTGACGTCTGGAGAGAGTCTGAGAGGTACTTGTTCATGGAATTCCACAAGGAGTGGGAAGCCTTCAAGCAAGGCCTCGTGGATAAGTATTGCCAAGAGCTGAAGAACAACTTCGGCAGCTGCCTCCGGGTGGCCGAAGAGAAGATGCGAGACTTGCTGGATGATCACGCCTTGGAAGGTGGGAAATAGCCAGGAATTATCCATGCCCGGTATTCCAGGGTTCTTTTGAACTACTGGGTTTGTGAGAGATCTAGTCTTACACTATGTGAACCGGTGTTTCACCTGTGTATGAATCTGTTGAAGAGGGACGCCAGGAGGATCACAAGCTTGCCGACTTTAGATGAGTGCCGAAATGATTGAGCACATTTGCTTGACAATTTGCAGTATTGCTACAGCTGCATGAATTGTTTCTTTTTTTGAGTTGCTGCCATCGCAAGTAGGTTGGAGGCCATCGCTCTTAGGGTAGAGGCCATGTAGCAGCTGCCATTGTGTTTTTTTCGTGCCAGGCGTGCCGGATCTCACCATGAACAAACTATCGCAAGTGCTCAAAGAGGCATGTGCACAGATTGCAGATGAGTCACTTTCATCTGTCCTTTGCTCCTGTTTGCCATCCTTTCAAAGCGATGCTGACTGGACTCTGCACCTCAGAAATATGCAGAAATGCTGTCTATTCTGCATTCAAATTTAGGAACCAAATCAAGCATGCGAAGCTGAACTCTTTTGCGTCCCCGTAGCTAGCTGACTTGTCTCCCCTCACGGCCCTGCAAGCCTACCTGCCCCAAAAGGGCTGTTTGAAGCGTGTTTTTGCACCTCCAAGAAGTGCCCATTAGACGCCTCCGTTGGATTCGTCAAGATGTCCTTTTTCTTCCTCTAAAATCCCGTCGCCCGCCGCCCTACGCCGCCCTGTGTGCGTCAATTACAGTCGATGCGCAAAAGTGTAACTTGACTTGTCACGGAAAAGATTTCTGTGTTTGGTGGTATTTTGCAATTGTTTCCGCTTGTAAAGGAACCACTTCAGTCAGTTCGTGCGCTTCTGCTCCATGGAGCTTCAGCGCTACCGGGGGAACATGCGGCAGACGGAGCTCTCGGTGGAGCGGCGCATGGAGTCCGAGCTCACGCGGCAGAAGGGCGACTTCTGGAAATGCATCTCCGGCTGCCCGGCCAGGCGTCCACGCGGCGTCCACGCGGCGTCCACGCGGTCGGCGTCCACGCGGTCGGGGCTGCGACCACGAAGAGATGACTTGGTGAGTTTGGTCTACGAAGGGAGATACGAACGGAGCGATCGGACGCTACGAACGTACCAAAGGGCATCGCTACGAACGGAGCGATCGGACGCTAGCTGCTAGCTTCTTTGATGCTTTTCATTCCTTTGCTACGAATTCTTCGTTGCAGGTGCCCTGGCTGCGGGACCAAATGCAACCTTGAGAACGAAAATCACTGGCCGGAGAGGCCTCATGAGTGCCGGAGGCCCTGAGAATCTTCCAAGTTGTGGTTCAACTAGTAACTAAATCCTGCATGGAGAGAATGATCTTTAAAGCTTTTGGCTTTGGAAAGAATCTTTATATCATTTTCAATCAACACCAGCTTTTCTGATTTTTTATCCTTTGCCTCTTTGGCCAGGCATGTCTACCCGGCCTTCAATGGTTGGCAAAAGCAAGAAGGTCGAAAGCCGTTCCTGTTGCACTGCCGTGCTCGCGCGCAGTGGCAAATCGCGCGCACTCGGCCGCCAATTGAAGCAGGAGGCCCTGAACGATTCTGGGAGAACTTCCAGGCAATTCTGATTTTGGACCCGTTTTTCTTCCCTCTTTGGAATTCAATCAATCAACTTAAAGCTTTGTGGCTTTGTAGCTTTCTCTCGATGGATTTGTTTGCTCTCTAACTTTGATTTGGAGCATGTCAATCCTTCGGACCTCTTTCGTGCGAACTGAGTGTTTTGTTTCGAGGCGATGTTGGAAGACGAACATCCTGACTGGTTGGACCCGGTGACTCGATTCCCTTTGGCTTCGATGGAGCCTTTGGAAGAATACGAGGAAGACTGCGATTCGGCCCCCGAAGAGATCCAGAGGGAGATCGACGAAAACCGACGCGCTTGGGCCAACTGCAAGGACGTCCTCCGTCGTCTCGGACGTCGTCTCACAAGAGAGCGGAAGCTTCGCCACGCTTCAAGGGAGGGCGGGGTGGAGCTTCCTTGAAGCGCTCGCACTATTCATCTCAGCTTGTGCAAAGAGGCCGATGTGCGGCACAGCAGTGCGGCACAGCTACAAGTAGTAAGGCCAGGAGCCCCTAGTAGCGTCTTTGCTCCTAGTAGTGAAAGCAGGAGCCCCTAGTAGCGTCTTTGCTCCTAGTTTCAGTCGATTGTCCAATTTCTTCGATTCTTTTCGCACTTCTCTCGGTTTGATCAAGGCTGCTGAGAAGCCTTAGTTCTGCGATCGAACCGCAGGATGCTCTGCTGGAGCACTTCACGTCTATGGCCGATGATCCAGACATTCCATGGCTGGAGAAGTACAAGAGGGAAGGAGAAAGCCTGACAAAAAGAACTACCTCTACCATATTACTTTTGGATTCCTGAAGTGTAAAGTCAGAGTCCGAAGAAGTTGAAAGACCAGGTTGTCCTTGTGACACACACAGACATGAAGCATTTGAAGTCTTGTGACAGCCACAGTTGTCACAAGAACTGCTCATTGGTCCAGTCGGTTTCTGCAGGAGGTGCTCTGAAGAAGGAGGACTTTGTGTCGATTCGTGACGAGCTCTTTGCCGTGACTCCCTTGGAGTCTTTGGAAGCCATGGATAGCATGATTGCATTGGACGACCCATTGGACGAATCCGTTTATTGATGCGGACACGCAACATGTGAGCGAAAAGAACGCCAAGCTCTGCCATCATTGCGTTGCAATGAGACGGCCTGTACAGTAGAGATGTTTATAGCCATAGTGGAAAGATGTACAAAGACAGCCTCGTTATGTCAACTTCGGCTAGTGCCCACTGGAAGCCTCACTGGGTATGCCTTCTGTTGACCAGATAGAGGGGTTTAGCTCTTTGATGTGTGCATCCAGGTGGCCGAGGAGCTCCGAGGGAAGAAGGTGGTCGCTATAGGAATTGACAGGGACACATGCTGCAAGGGCATGAGAGGCATAAAAAAAGACAAGTTCACAAGTTTGTTCTGTGCCGCTATGCGCTCCATGGTCTCCTGGAAGCATAGATTTGAGACCAGCAGAACAGGCCAGTCTCGAGCCAAAAGCCCGTTCGGACACAGAAACTCAATCCTGATCCTATTCTAGGACCCAAGCAAGTCAAATTCTTATTAGGTTGGAGGCCATCGCTTTTCAGAGGATCCATGAGTTGGCGGAGGAAACGCATTTTTCCTGTTCACTGCACTTCACCTGAAAGAACATTGAAGACATGCAGCAGTCGTTTTGAAAGAACTTGGAACACGACTTCTTCAAAGACCAGTTTTGTTTACAACCCCCTTGCTGCCCTCCCTAGCACGTCAGAGCCCTTTAATTTTCAAGAAACGAAGGAAATGATCACAAAAGCAACAAGAAAGAGAGAAAGATGATTCGCTTTTTAGCTACGACCAATCGGATTGTTCCGCTTTTCTTTCCGGTCCGAACAAAATAGGATTCAAACTAGAAATACAATAGGAATACGATGTTGAATCGTCAAAATCCGAAATCGAGGAGATTCATCGTCGTCTTTGCAGCGCCTTGGAGAGCGAGAGCTTCTGCTCGTTGAGAGCATTGTTGGCAGGGGAACTCTTGGAGGCAAAGAACGAAACCGTGGGAAGAGCGGGACAGCGTGGAGGTAAGGATGTAGTAGGTCATAAGAATGCAGTAAGTACTTAAGATTGGTGAAGTTTAGTAGTAGTAGTAGTAGTAGTAGTAGTAGTAGTAGTAGTACTAGTAGTAGTACTAGTAGCAGTACTAGTAGTAGTAGCTGTCTCAAGTAAGCCAACAAGTAAGTAGAGTAGCTGCTAGGAACCAGCGCGATCGGCTAGGTGCTAACTAGATGACAGGATGCACTCTTCTTTGCGAAGAAGTAGCGATGCCCTTTGTTCCTAGTAGCTTCTTGCTCCTAGTAGTACGGGCAGGAGCCCCTAGTAGTGATGCCAGGAGCCCTAGTAGCGATGCCAGGAGCCCCTAGTAGCGTCCTTGCTCCTAGTAGCGATGCCCTTTGCTAGGCTAGGAAGTTGCTTTGCGAAGCGCGAAGCTGTGCGAAGTCCCCGCATCCAGAAAGGCAGCTGCTCGACTGATGGACTGCACCAGCACGGAGGCCAGAGGAGGTTCACTGCTCCTAATGAAAGAAAAGAAAAGAAAGAGAGAAAGGCAGGTCCAATCAAAATTGGTCTAACAGAATGGTCTAGAAAGGTCTAAAAGAATGGACATAAGAAATTATCCTGTCAGTCGTTTGGTCGGGTGACAAGGTCGGTGGGGTGACGACGTCCAAGACCTGAGATTCTTTTTTGGGAAGCATGTTGTTTCAGGGTTAAAGAGTGGTTGATAAAACTCTTCATTTAACTAGAAGCAAGGACGCTACTAGGAGCAAAGGGCATCGCTACTAGGAGCAAGAAGCTACTAGG